CTTGACATTGAGCCTCAGTCCATACTGAAGGCTGCAGTCCTTGACCCTCTGCAGCAAGTGCATGAGGTCCTCCTCAGTTTCAGCAAGCAGGGTTGTGTTATCAGCATAATGCAGATTGTTAATAGATCTTCCACTAATCCTGACGACACACTTCTCCTCATAGAGCCCAGCTGCTCTGATAATCTGCTGTGCGTACAGGTTGAAAAGGTATGGAGATAGGACACATCCCTGGCGTACATCCTTCCCAATTTTCAACCATGCGGTGTTAACCTGCTCTGTTCTAACGACTGCCTCTTGGTCCAAGTATAGGTTTCACATTAGCACGACTAAATGTTCTGGGATTCCCATTCTTCTTAGAGTCAGCCACAGTTTGTTATGATCCACATAGTCAAACGCCTTTGCATAATCAATGAAACACAGATAGACATTCTTCTGATATTCCCTGCTTTCAGCTAAGATCCATTTAACATCAGCTACAATATCCCTAGTACCACGACCCCTTCTAAACCCAGCCTGGACATCTGGCTGGTACTACTATTCTAAAAAGGCTCCTCATTTTCATCAAATCAAAACAGCCTCAAAGCTGATCCTCATTTGAATTTCTCAGTCTGTAAATCACACAGGAAAAGATGGTTTTCCTTCCCTTTTAGTAGTTGCTGGTGTATTTGAATAGCCAGAGAACTTTGGGTTAATAGTCTAAATTTAACTATAAACATTAGATTCATTTTTGAAAAATAAAGTTTTTATTTTACATTGTTTTATTTACAACGTTTGTATAATTTGTTTTTCCATACCAAATATTTCCCATTTCCTTTACCTTCCCCTCCACCTCCTCATCAAATTATGTGACTCTAGGACTTTGAGCTGTGGTGCTGGAGAAAAGTATTGAATGTATCCTGGACTGCCAAGAAAACAAACAAGATTCATCCTGGAGAGGGTCAAACCAGGCTACTCCTTGGAGGCAAGGATTCTTCTGGGGCTTCATCTGACGTACTTTGAACATTTTGTAAGGAGAGACAGGTCCTTGGAGAGAGACATCATGCTTGGTAAGGTGGAGGGACAACGCAGGAGGGGAAGACCCTCTATGAGGTGGATTGATTCAGTGACTGGGGTAATCGGGGTGGGTGTGTCAGAGGCCGTGCGATTGGCACAGGATAGAGCAGAGTTTAGGGCTGCTGTACATAGGGTCGCTATGAGTTGCAGACGACTCGATGGCACATAACAACAACAACATGATTATCCCCCTGCTCATCTAACTCTTCTCAGTCTCATTAGGACAAATAATGTATAAGACCACTTTTGTAGAAATAAATAAGTTAAAAAGTAAAACATGTCTGAGGATCCAAGGGCAGGAGGGTAGGAGCAGAGGGGTGAAGATAGATTTATCTTTTTGAGGAATAATAGTATAGTTAATAGCTTACTATATAATATTTGCTCAGAAAAAGCTAAAATAACAAAGATACTACATAGTAGTATGGTTTTATATATGGGCTCATAATAAATAAATTAGGCAATTTTACTTGGTATAATTAATCCTCAGAACTCTGCCTGTTGGTCCAGTGATAAGAATCTTTGTTTTCTTGACATTGAGATGCAATTCATACCGAAGGCTGCATTCCTTAATTTTCTGCAGCAAGTACTTCAAGTCCTTGACACTTTCAGAAAGCAAGGTTGTGTCATCTGAATGACACAGGTTGTTGATGAGTCTCTCTCCAATTTTTATGCCACACTCCTCTTCATAGAGTTCAGCTCTTTGAATAATTTACTCAGCATACAGTCTGTATAGGTACGGACAGAGAACACAACCATGATGCATTCATTTCCTAGTTTTAATCATGCAGTGTTTCCCTGATCTGTCCGCACAACAGCCTCCTGGTCTAGGTATAGGTACCACATGAGCACAATTAAGAGCTCCGGGATTCCCATTCTTCTCAATATCAGCCACAGCTTGTTATGACCCACACAGTTAATGTCTTTGTATGGTCAATAAAGCACAAATAGATATTCTTCTGGTATTCCTCACTTTCAGCCAAGATCCATCTGACATCGGCAATGTTGTCCCTGGTGCTATGGCCTCTTATAAAATCTACTTGAATCTCTGGCAGTTCCCTATGTATGTACTGTTCTAATCTTTTTTTAAAATAATTATTAGCAATATTTTAATATTAATTATATTGTTCAATAGTTTCCATATTCAGTTGGATCATCTTTCTTGGAAGTTGTAACAATTTGATATCTTCCAATCCATTGGTGAGACAACGGTCCTCCCAATTTCCTGGCATATACCAGTGAGCACATCCAATTAATTAATTTTGCTTGGATCCACAATTAACACCCTTAGTACCAATAGTCAGGAAATCAGAGACATATTGCACTTGAAAAACATACAATTAGGGACCTCTTCAAATTATTGAAGAATAATGATGTCAGTTTGAAGACTGATGTGCAGCATCTGATTTAGTTCATGGACTTTCAGATTATTTGCTGTGCATCTGAGAGCTGGGCAATGAATAAAAATGACAGAAAGATAATTGATGCCTTTAAGATTTGGCATTGAAGAAGAACACTGAACATTCCGTGGACTGCCAAAAGAACAAAGAAATATGTCTTGGAGAGGTTGAAACTTAAGTGGTCTTTGGAGGTAAGAATGATGAGGCTTCACCTCACATACTTTTAACATGTTTCTAGGAGGTGCTATCCCTTGGAGAAGAACATGATGCTGGGAAGGGTGGAATGTTGGTGACGGAAAAGGAGACCCTCAACTAGGTAGATTGACATGTTGACGGCTACAAATGGGCTCTTGTGTGTAAGGAAGTGTGAGGATGGTGCAGGATTGAACAGGTTTCAGATCTTTTGTTCATAGGGTCACTATGAGTTGTATTCAACTTGATGGCACCTAACAACAACAACAACTTGCTATAATAAACAAATGCCAAATATTAATCAAATTGCTTAATATAATAAAAAAATGTTCTGGAGAGGATGAAAACAAGCTGTTACCTGAAGGCAAGGATTTGGAAGTTTGATCTCACATATTTTGGGCACATGGCCAGAAACGACAAGTCCTTGGAGAACAACATCATCTGTGGGGGACACTGCAGGAGAGGAAGACCCAGGATGAGATGGATTGACTCAGTGACTGGAGACATGGGATTAGGTCTGTTGGAGACAATGAGATCGGCCCAGGTTAGGGCAGGATGAAGAGCTATGTACATAAAGCTGCTATGAGTCGAAGGCCACTAGACAGCACATAACAACAACAACAAAAAGCTAATTCTTACTCAGTTCAGTGAAGCTTCATAGTGCATGTGGGATTCCTCTGCGACTTTGACATCCTTAGTATATTGTAGCAAGATTGCTCTTGGGTCAACCCAATAGCAGGTGATGTGTGGGGAGGAAAGAGAAGCAGCAAGACAGAGAGTACCCTATCTTCATTGCTTTGCTTCATCAGTGGCCTGTTCACCTTTGTTCACCTTGCACTTTGCACTTTGTCTCTTTCCCTTTACATTAAAGAAACTTGGGACATAAAGTGAGAGTATATAGCCAGTTCCTCTCTATATACTATAAGAAAGTATACAGAAATTATATCCTTAGCTAACATTTTTATGAAATTTATTTTCCATTTTCCCTGTGTTTTCTAAGAGAAATACACATTAAGCCCACAACCAGATAAAAAGCAGTGAACTTTATGGCACTTACATGCTAAGGGCCAGCAGCTTATTCTTCTTCTCAGGTGCAGACACCTTGGGATAATCACTACAGTGTAAGTTTCAAGATGGTTGTATATCTTAAGAGATGACACAAGTGCTGGCCAGCGTGATAGGAAATACACCTGAGGAGAGCATACGGAGGACCCTTCTCTATGCATGGGTGATTTGGGTGTATTTATCAACTCAGATCACCGGGATTGTTTGGCTTACTTGGCTAGTGTGGAGGATTTTCCATTCTTCCCTTACTGTTCTTTATCATTCCTTTCCAAATCTCTTTCCCTTTCTTAAAGGGAGCGATGTTTTCTAGTAGCAGAAGTGGGAAACTAAAAGTTCTATCCCTTCACTGTTAAAAAGTCTCTAACAAAACTACTGGAGGTACCTCTTGAAAATACCTCTTAGACAATGTATATTTATTAACTGATGACTTAACAAGAATTAATAGTGAAGTCTCTGTGTGGGTATTGTAACATGTTTGCTGGCCTTTAAAGAGAGCTCCTAGTGAAAGTAGAAAAGAGACATGTTGCTTAGGGGTGACATTGAACTTGTTTTCATGGTGGTGAAGAGTTTGGAAATGGATAGTTATGATGGTTGCATCATGAATGTAATGAATGTTACTGGGGTTTACATGTAAAAATATTCAAATAGCAAATGCTTATTTGTATCTATATTCTAATGAAGAAAATAAAAAATGAAAGAAGAAATAATTTATTGTGAGAAGACTATAACACCTCACATCCAACACATTGCAGTTGAATTTCACATCCTACCTTTGGTACCTAGTCTGGAAGATGAACTGAAGCCTTGTTTATGCTGCTAAAACCCTTTTCAACACTCACTATTGATTTCAATCCTCCAGTCTGTTATTTCCTTGCCCTGCATGCAATTTCTGTTTCATTGCATGCCACTTTCTTGCACTTGTCCTGTTAAAGAGTAGACCATGGCCATTAATATTTAAAGACTGGGATCATTTTTCAGGTTTTAGTTTAAAGGTAACCATAGCACACACATACGCATTCATTATTAAAGCAGAGATGCACTCTTAGTTCTTAGGAATCTTCTTTCGACGTCAGTTTCATATGAGTGCTGCTGTCACTCTGCTGTTATTATGTGGTTAGTGGACAAACTCAGTAACAATGGATCAAGAATGAGGTGAATTCTTCATGTGGGTTGATAGAACCATGTTAAAAAGAGAAATGAAGCCAGAAAGTGACAGACCACGCAGAGTCCGATTTCGGATTGCATCATCTCACAGCGGGCGAGTTCTGAAAGAAGTGTATGATGACGGGCAGCCTGCAGGCTCTCTGGACTCAGAGTGTGCCAGTATCTGCGGGATCGATGGACTAAGTGAGTCTGACGGACAGCAGAATGGTCACATCGGATCAGAAAGTGACGAGCATGAGAATGACCAGGATAACTTGCTGGTTTTAGCAAGGACTGCCAGCGAGAAGTGCTTTGGCACAAGAAGAGTCAACATTTTAAGCAAAAATGGGACTGTCAGAGGCGTCAAATACAAAGTGAGTGCTGGCCAAGCTCTCTTTAACAATTTGACCACCGTTCTGCAGGTAAGTAATCCATTGTCTTCTTCCTGAGCTTTGCTCCAGACTCATCATCCCAGCATGTACCTCTTCTCCAGTTGAGAGGGAACCTTTCTTCTTCATGACTCTTACATACTTCATGAGTCAGGATCCCACTCTCTTTCTTATCCAAGATACTGTCTCAACAGACAGGGGTTAGAAATAGGATCATTACACTTAATTAACTAGACTAATTTATCAAAGTTAAATTTCTAGCACTTAGCTAGCTTGTCCAGTGGCTAAAACAGTGGACTTACTCCCTGGCCAAGGAAGAAAATGGAATCGGAATCTACAAAGACTTTGATCAAAAAGGAAAGGCAATGCTAGTTTATAGCTTCACATCAATAAAACACGGTTATAGTACTTATCACTTCTAGAGTTGTTAAAACTAGAAATGGTAAAGACTTTTGAGTATTTACATTCAGTGAGGGTGGATTCAGTTGAAATCTGATGAAGTTATGGCAGTTAATTTTGACATCTTATTACTGAGGAAGTTGCAAGCTAAGTTGAGATCTTTTCTCTATTAATTTGCCTATAAAAACTCAGGAGCATGGCTTGAAAAGTTATTCCTATATAAATGCAGAGTTTTAGGATTTTACACCAGGGAAGCTAGTCTTCAAATGATGATAGATTCTGCTCAGTAAAACAGGAATACATTATTTAGGTACTAGTGCCTTTGGCAATGGTCTCACGTCAAGACAAATTTTGCACTTGCCTCTGAGGACTGGTAAATGATTTTCTGTTAAAAACAGGCGTCATTATTTCAGGAATGGAATTTATAATCACTGTCATTAAAGTAGCACCAATATTTTTCATTGTAATGCTGTTTTATCTTAGTCTCAATTTTTATATAAATGATCTCTAATGTTGAATTATTCAAAGCTTCTATAATATCTAAGGATTGGGGAATTGTGGAGAGAAGTGATTTTCATGAAATCTTTTGGGCTATTTTTCATTTTAAATAAAGTGTTTGAAAAGGTCTCGTCATGAGAGTTTTTTTACAAACACATATTTCAGTGTTTGTTAAAAGTGAAAAAATAATTCACAATAATGATTCTTTATATGTATAAAATGTAATTAGAAAAGAATTTTCCAGATTGGAAGGGGAATTGGGAACTCAAGCTAGAAACTGATGACTATTTTAATAAATTGAATATGGTCTTTTTAGTTTTCAAGAGTTGTGATTATTTTATTCAGATAATCTTAGGGGCTTCTGAGATTCATCCAATGCAGAAATACTTTTGTCCTGAGATTTACAAGACTCTTTTGGGTTAATTAAACTTTAAAATTATAGAATTCTTCATGGTTAGTTTATCTTGCCTAGTGAAACTAATTGAAATTGATTGAAATGAATCCTCTATTTTGGGTGTTTTGTTTGATTTGAATTTGTTGATTTAAATCTCCAGCAAAGTTATTACTATGAGTCATATTTTAAAACCTCAATATCTACAAGAGAAAAACTTATCTACTTTGTATATGTTTACCTAAATAGTGCTATAAACTCACAAACTGAAAAGAGAAAACAGTTCTCAAGTCAAAATACTAATACTGGATTAGGTTACAAGATATATTTGCATATTTTAAGGCACAATTACCTCTTCCTTTTTTGAGAAAAAATAAACATTGTCATTATGATTATCCATATTTCTTTTACTTTGAAAGGGTAATAATAAATAACAGCAAAAGCCTATTATGAACTTTGCCATTTAATAAGGTTTTGTACTGCTCCTTTCTCATAAGATGAATGGAGTGATTGGTATATTTTAAGTATGAAGTAATTAAGGCCAATCATCATTATCATTGTCATGATGTGAATGGTCTCTAATTTCTAGAGCAGAATCATAGGTTGAAAGAGCTTCTGAGCTTGGATCTGGGTTCAGAGTTGTCTGTGTGAATGGCACCACTTGAAGTTACACAAACTGTAAAGCATTATATGGAGGTGTCCTGACTGAAGGAAGTGCCTGTGTGTATGTGTGGATTTCCTCTTGTTAGGAAGGCAGTGTCTTATGATGATTGAGCAGCTTCCCACAGCAGTCCAACTCTGCATTCACCAAGAAGGCCAGGAGGTGAAAAGCAGAGGGTGTTCAATTACCATTCAATTACTCCTATGTCTACCACCAGATTTGACTTTTTCCTCCCGCATCTCTGTACTTTCCCCCAAGTCCTTTGGGAAGTGATCATTACATATTAATCTCTAGCAGGGAACAAAAAATGAGAAATTATATATTTGGTTAAGGTTCCAACTACAGCCAATTTTATTAAAGTGAAGAACTGTGATTGAAGAAACAGCCGGTCTTTCTTCCTGTTTTAAGTTATAAAATCTTACAACACTCAACTTGAAACTTGAGAGTAAACCCTGTATGGAAGTAAAAATTTTTCAAAGACCCTGTAAATCACTTTTGTTTCTCTGTATTAGTTTCTCGTTTTGTTCCTGTTGCAAAAGTTTCAACTGTGCAGAGTGGTCATTAAAAGTATTGGCTTTAAAACAGTTAATTTCTTAGCAGCACTTCTGTAGGAAGTTATTCTACAAAGTGATATGTGAACCAATTCCTATTTTATTTGCCAATTGATTTGCTTAATGCCATACTAGGTAATTAAAGATCTGAATACTAAACAAGTCAATTAGAAGTTGTGAGGAAATCAGAAGAAAAAACCAAAATCCTCTTTCTACCTAGGTGGGTTTTGTAGAGGGCAATGTTTTGTAAATCTCTAAGGTTGGCCCAATCTGTGGAGATGTAGATGCTTGAATGTGCCACGTTTCCTCAAAACAAGTTACATCGTTTAAGAGAAAAATTTAGAAATTTGTAAACCAGGAATGAAGAAGCTAGTTGTGACCTGGAAATCGTATATTTTATGTTGTTGTTGTTGTTGTTAGGTGCCATTGAATCAGTTCTGACTTTTCGTTTATTTTTAATATATGTTTTCCATGCTTTATGCATGGCAAATTTATTTTTTAAAAAAATTCTGGTTTATTTACCAAGTTTGTATACATTGTTTTCCCACACCTGATGTTCTTGCAGTGTGCTGTTCAGCTAAAAAAGCTCAACCTTTAACAACAGCAAATCACAGACAGGGGATTGCCCATCCTTCTGTGGTGGAACAGCTAGCTGGTGGATTCCAACTGCCTGCTTTTGGAATTACACAATTTATTACCACTCCCACCAGAAGGGGCTAGCTTTGACTAAGAGTCACTCGTGTAAAACAGAAGGAAACACTACTAAGTCATGTACCATCTCATGAGCACTACTTTTCTTATGCCTATTGTAGCAACTGGCTACTGTGTCAGTCCATCTCACTGAAGCTCTCCCTTACTAGAATTTCTATTTATGAAGAATGACATTTGTCTGTGGACTTATCCCTCACGAGAAAATGTTCAAAGCATATGTCATGTCTTTGCCCATTTTGTAGTTGTGTTCTCATTCTTTTTCTTGTGGAGGCCCTGTAGGATTCTTTTGGTATGAGACCCTTCTCTGAAATGGTATTGCCAAATGCTTTTTCCTAGTCAGTAAGTTTTCTTTTCACTCTGGAAAGTGTTTTTGATACATACAGGGATTTACTCTTTAGAAGGTCCCATTCAGCAATTTTATCCTTTCCATATTGTGCATTTCTGGCTGTATTTGACAGTCTCTTCATACCATATTCAGACGCATGAAGAAACGCTCAAAATCACTGGCAATACGAGAGATGCAAATAAAAACCACAATGAGATTCCATTTTAGCCCAGTAGCAGTGTCAAAGTTTAACAGGACAGATAGTAATAAATGTTGGAGAGGATGTGATAAGATAGGAACTCTTTTTTTATCATGTTTTATTAATTTTAATGAAAATTAACAGAGACTTTGCATTTCCATTCATTCATTGTTGCACTTTTCCCCTGTCCTCTTCCCCACCTCCAGTACACTCTTCTCTTCGAAAAGTAAATGAAAAATCCCCCATTGTTTTACAATCCCTCCCCCCAGGTTCACTCCACTATGCATCCTTCGTTCTGGACTCCTGTCATGACAATGATACCTAATCACATATCCCTTTTAAACAGTTTTCTCCCTCTCTGTTTAAATGCAGTACACATTATCCATCCCATCTTTTCTCAGTCTCCCCCAACCCCAGTGCCATCCTGTTCTATAACAGTGGCACTATGCAATATTTGTGCCTTTGTGACTGAGATATTTCACTCAGTATAATGTTCTCGAGGGTCACCATTTTGAATAATATTGCATGAGTTTCTTGTTTTTCAATGCAACATAGTATTCCATTGTGTGAATATACCACAGCTTCTCTATCCATTCATTTGTTGAAGGGCACTTAGGTTGTTTCCAACTCCTTGATGGGAAATCATTTAGTTGCCTGTGTTAATAAAAATTTTATTTGATATTATTTACATCTTCAATGTTAATGAGGAAATTGAAAAAGCTAAGTGTTAATCTACAGTTGGTTTTTCTGATCCAATTAGATCAGCAGGAACGCTTTCCTCAACCAGAGATGAAAAAGGGGTATTTTTTATGGATGTCTTTACTATTAGTATCCTAATTTATCAATTATTTGGGTAGAGAGGAGATACAGAAAGGAATCTTACCAATATACTCTAGTGTAGGTGTTTTTAGTTTACTTTAACATGTCATGATTTAAAACTCTTGTGGACTAATGGTAAGGAGTTGCACTGTTGACCCAAAGGCACATGGTTCAAATCTATTAGCTTCTGCACAGGAGAAATATGAACAATCTCCTCCTGTGTGGTTTACCGGCTCTGAACTCACTGAAGAATCAGTTATGAGTCATTTACCACTTCATGGTACGCAAAAACATCAAGGATATTTTTGTCTAGAAGAATTATTTTCCTACTCAATACTGAAAGAGTTTAAAAATATTTTCTTTTTGAAATTACTGTTTTCACATATAGTACAAATTACAAAAGTACTATATAATTTACTGCTTTCATTACTCTGTTCTCAAGATTAGATTTCAGATTCAATTCATTCTGAACATCCACA